GAAAACCAGAATTGCATCCTGGAAATTGTTTCAACATATATCGTACACTTAAAAATTACAAAATACAACAATAGTGTGAATAAAACTGGTATTTAAGTGAATTTCTTTCTTCCTTTATTTATTTAAATTGTCTTGTTTTTTAGTTAAAGTAAATTTGAAATAAAATACTTGGAAGCATTGGGAGCTGTTGGTAACGAAATTGAAATAAAATTCAGAGTGCAAAAGCTTAATTAAATTTCAATCAAACGGGAGAAAACCCATTGGATCGCGATGTGTTACAGAGCGCGTATGCATCGTAGAAGTTTAAACAAAGAATTCTCAAATGCGCCAAGATAGAAAAGATGGAAAAGTTCAGTACGAAAGAAAAATTATTCGCAACTAAACACATTCTATGAATGGCATTACAGTTACTAAATTTAGAACTAAACCTACGTGGTGAAAATGCATCAACTTTGTCGAACGTCCCCAGACGATGGCCGTAGAGATTTAATAATTGCAAATCTTCAACGATTTCAATAAAACAGTGATGAACGAGTTAGATAGGACTAAGAACATGTTATAATACTTCTGTGATCATAATTTCCTGAAACTGTCAGTTAAAATACAAACGAATCTATAATTATTTCTTAAATATTAGCAGGTATTGTATTCTTCGATTCATCTAATTTTACCTAATGAAAGAAATGATAGTAATAAATATATGTCGGCATCGTTTCAGTATCTATATGTCGGGTGAACATTAGAATTTAAGGCGCGAACGATTCTTCATTTGAATTAGCCATCGTTTTACGAAACAGAGATTATATTTACGCGAATATGCAAGATTTTACAAAATATTATGAATAATGAGTTTAATGAATGATAAGATTAACAAACGATAAGTTTAACTAATGACTAGATTAAGGAATAATAAGTTTAATAAGAGTAACGAATAATATGTCTTACGAATAATAAATTTAACGAATAATGAGATCAACGATTAATAGGTTTTACGAATAATGAATTTAATTATCGCTATTAACAATGTTCCTGGGTTCAAGCGAATCCACGGTCAACGGGATAACTCTTTACTATGCGTAGAATAATTTTAAACACAAAAAATACGATTGCTGAGACACTCGGTAAATTGCTCGATGTATCACTTTCCAAGGCGATCACACGAATGAATATCTGATGAAAATCTTTTTCGCTGTACGACTGCATTTGTTTGTTATATGCTCGCTGGAGGCATCGAGAAGGTTCCAATCGTCGTTGCTAGACAGTTTCTGTCAGGAGTTTGTTGTATACTCTTTGGAAGCATCGAGAAAGATCCAAACGCCTTTGCTAGGCAGTTTCTGTCTGGAGTTTGATTCCTAATACAACGTGTGTCCCATTATATCGACATCTCCAAAGTACAATTCTATGTGATTTCTAGGGAGAACTATACAACCGATCCACACCTTCGTCAGGCAAAACGTTTATCCCGTGACCGTGGCTACGTTCGGCGACCAGTTGTCACCTCGAACCCACTTTCGCTATCACAAATATCGAACAATTACAAATGACAACAATTGCTTAATTACAGCTATGATAAAATCTAGGCTAAAGCATTAGAAGACTTTCACAAAATTGCAAAGGGAAGGCTCCGGTTTTCCTTTCATCTCCGACATATATATATATATGTAAATAGTAAAATCTTCGAAATATCGGCGCTGGAAAATTTGTTATTCGAAGCAAACACGTCTTAAAGAAATAATAAATAGTAAAAGAATAATAAAAAATAAGAATGTAAATATTTAATATGATTCTTAAAATATTCAGTTAATGAACGTTCCGAATGTAATTTTTTAAATATTCAATTACCCAATTGGCTAACCTTGAATCTCGTTATCAATTTATTCATGGACGCATAAGTAGAAACGTACTGGCGCTGCAAATTGCCAGACATTAATAATACATCGGCGCAAACGAACGTAATTAGGCGGTAATAAAATTGTTTCACGTGCCTTTGTCGTCATACAGGTAAAAGACGTGACAAGGAGAATAGATTTTCACGATACGAAAATTATAATGGAACGTGTAAGGCCGACATGTGCCGGGAAAAATATATACGTGAAATGCCACTACTTTCTCTCACATAATTCCAGTGTTTCCTATTGCTAATGATGCACTATGTGTCGTGTTTTTTCAGCATGCATCAAGGAACCAATTACTTAAGAAAAATTGTTCGCGAAAGTGGCAACGAAGAGCGGTAAAAATTGTTTCTAGAGCGCGAAATATATGTATGTACTTGCATATTGCGTGCACCTTATAACGGCTACAAATATTTATAAAAACACTTCCGAGAAACGGTAAAAAAATGTGTTAAATTATCGCCTAGCGTTACTTTTTACGTCGAATGGGTTTCATTTGATTCTAAAGCAAGTCGTATCTCGGACGTTGTGTGATATAATACTGTTTATGTAGAGAAGTGAAACGCTATGCTTCGAATAGAGGCAAGATTACACTCTACATTCTAATAATTACTCTCGGTTGATTTTCACATTGCAGATTCGTAACAACAACTGCACGCGATTCGTTTCCGCTTCCTAACGCGAAACTGTTGAAGTATTTACTTCAAGAAAATCTCTACACCTTTTCCTTTTGTATATCCGTAACCTGGAGATCGTTGTTACAAAAAGAATAGAATTTAAGGAAAAAATTTCAAAATAAGGAGAGGTCCATATTATTATGCGCTTGAATATAAATTTTGTTTTGCATTGCAAGGTCTAAAGACAAAAGAACTATAAGTAGATTTCTATTGCTGTTTCTTGTAGCCTTCAGCTAGAACTACACACCAGGGTTAACTTTTTGCTAATGTCCTTTTGCTATAAATATATGAACCCTGTCATGGATTTTTCCTATTGTATTGTAACAGTGTAAAAGTGAGGATCTGTATCAGCGTACACTATACTTATACTTATACCTATACTTATTTCAAGATATTTTTCTATTACAAATTCATCCACTCGTTCCTCTATCAGTCAACCTCAGCAGAAACGGTGGAACATTCGAACGCAACAAATACGAACCATCAGTCACAAAAGTATTCGTGCGAGATACAAGAAATTCTTTATATTCTTATATATGTTATAAGAATTCTTTATATAAGACAATTTTATAATGTACATTGTTCTATTTAACATAATCTAATTTACAAATTACAATTAAAATAATTACTTACGAATTGCTTACGAGTCATTTACAAGTTAATTATATATTGTACATAGTTGAATATTGGCGTCAAACTGGTTCACATTGTGAAATCTTAAACGCTCTGTATTTGGCATGACCTATAAAAGAAACCTAATGGCTTAGTGCACTACAACTATGTAAGTAAATAATTACAAAAATGATATTAACAAATGATGTAACTTATCATTTTATAGTTAAGATTATAGCCATTATGTTATGCGTGCTAATAACATCTCTAAAATAAAATTTAAAGAAGTTATTTTATCAATTTATAATTTATAAATTTTATTTAAAATAGATCAACTTCTTCAAACTTCGACCACACGACCTGAGGTTTTTTGAGAAGCTATTGGGTTGGCAACTAAGTGATTGCGGATTGTGTCATTACCACCTAATGACAAAATCCGCAATCGCTTAGTTGCCAAACCAATAGAAGGATTAGTTGACTAGATGAAGTGCAGCAGAAATTTGGAGAAAATAGAAATTGATATGAATAGCGATGAAGATAGTAAAGTCCACCTTGTACAATTTTTTTATCTTTTATACGTCATCCAGTGAACTAATTCTTCTAGCTTCTGAAAAAGAGCTCAAGTCTTTTGGTCCAATTTTGAACAAGTTTTTCTTTTGTAAATGATGTACGAATGCTCTTTACATTGACTGTATTTTGCATTTTACGTCTCAGATAGACTATGCCACTTGAATCAGTCAGTAGTCAGACAGGAATTGGATGATATCGAGAGGAACATAATCTCGTACAATTACATTTTATATGGACGCGTACAGGTGATATGCAGATGATTTACGTTCTTTTAAATTTTACGTTCTTCATCATAGAAGTTTTAATTTACGAATCGATTCGTCTTAACACTCTCTCTGAAAAGATATCTATTCGTGTGATAATCAATTCATATGGAAAAACTATTAATTTGCCGGATGCTTTCACTTTTATGTTGTAAAACCTATCGTATGAAAAGACAAGAAAACCAAATACGTTTTCCCTTAAATTGGTACCTTTCAGGAGCAAATTATATGTCTAATTTTTGTCCCATATTGAACGTCGTCGGACGTATATGAAATACCACATTTTGCCATTGAAACTATGTGTATGCATGTAGCGTATCGCTTGATATTTCTTTTGCAATTGGCATTATATGATTAATCTCTGGAAACGCAATAAAAACGGCTTATATTATCATCCATATTTGCATAAATACATTTACACAACAAAAGCTTGATTTACATAAATCCTTTACATCATTTTCCCCGTTGTAGTTTCATCGTAGAATGCCAACCGAAGCGCTTTCTCATGAATGAATATAATAATTATACTTTGTACAATTGAATTCAGTTAGTCTCGCTGCCTGGCTCATGCCGATCACGTAAAAGGGAATTGATACTATCGCAATTCCATCGAAACTCTATCCTTACGAGTCTTATAAATAAGATACACATTGATTCGTAGACTTTTCTCTTTGATTCTTCGTAACTTCATTAACTATGTATACTATAAATGCTGTACTATGAATACTATTTACTATACTACGCTATAAATAAAGGATACATCGAAAGATTGATTGACAGATTACAGACTTTCTTCTTTGACTTTTCGTAGCTTCGTTAACTATATGTACCATAAATAAGATACACATTGACTTTCTTCCTTGATTCTTCATAATTTGATTAAATATATAGACACGTACAGATACTTTAAACACGACGTGTCCAGAATTTGTAAAATAAAACTTTAATCGTCGTTTTGTTACTTTTTGCCTATTGCACGACATCAGCGGAATACAAGGCTGCCAACATGATTGTGTTATAAAAGATCCTTTATTAACTGATACGACCAAGTAAGTTGAGAGGTTCTTATTACGTTACGGATTTAATTGATGTCAGCGAATCGATCTGTTTCAGTAGCGGGATGGTGCAAAGTGTTGGTGCCAATTTATCTCCGGACCAAACATTCGGATCGATTCGATCGCTGTCGGTGACGAGGGAAGTCGCCAGTTTTCCTCTATCAAGAACGCCTACGCCGCCTCCGCAACGCAGGTAATTTTTCTTCATTTGCTTCGTTCGCCGCCACGGCGCGTTCAATAAATATCGCTTTACTCGAGCGTAACGCTTCCATCACGAGGAATAGCTATGCCCGTAGGATGTGTGAGATAAGCCCAACTTTTAAAAGATATCCAACAAGATACTTAAACATTATGGCTGAGCAGGTATTTTATCAAATGCGGCATTTTTCATCGAATCGTCGTATTTTTCTACCATTTTTCCACGTATACTCGAGGAAAATATGGAAAATAATGGTAAAATTGCGCGTAAGGAATTATTGAAGTATAAAAAGTTTTGATATTAATGTTTTAACATTTTGCACATTCTTCAAATGTTAGAAACCTCTTTTCTAAAGCGACGTTGGAATATACAAAATTCGAGAACCGCAGCAACCTGTCGCTATTACTTCTATTATTATTTGATTTGATTGTGAAATGTTTCTAAAAGATTTCTTATCGTGATTATGTGCAATTTATTCACTACGAATCAGATTTTCTAATAAATAGAGTGAATCGAATCAGTATAATATCAGCATAAAATGTGTAACGTTATATTAATAGTTGGAGATCTATGGGCAAATATACCACGTAAAGTTATTAACCTTCCTACGTTTTTTCGGTTATTTCCGAGCTAATTGTATTTTTCTAACATTATAAAATACCTTCAACTTGGACAAAATATGAACAAAGTTTTATTTGTATGCAGGATTTCTCGTTTCAGTCTTGTGCTATGCCTTTTGAACTTCTAATTCTTTTCTAATTTTCTTTTCAACAACTCTCTATCGTTTTAAGTGTTTTATTTAAAATGTACTTCATCAAACAGCTGATTGATAGGAAGCAATTTAAACAATTTTTTTGCTAATTACATTGAATATGTAATATTGCTTATCTAAGTACAAAAAAATACTGCCAAATATAATACATATTTAACCTGACAATTTAAAAATATCCAGCACGACACGGAGTATCTGTGAAAAAAATTAATTTCGAGTTACTCGACAATGAAGTTCAAAGGGTTGAACATCTTCTCACCTCTTAGGTACGACGCGCCACTATGGTGGCTCACTTCACTGACTCATTCGCTCCGTTTGAACTAAATGATCTTTTTCTTTTTTTTTTTTGTCTTGCTGCACACCTTTTTTGCCCTCACAACATTTTATAACAGTGTTAACGATATACAGACAGAATATATAGTTTTTGTTTTTGATACGCTAGTGTCAGGTATCAATTGTTGCTTCTCGTTAAAATAAATATACCGTTGTTAGATGCTCTTTTTAACATGCCGGTCCGTATCTTTATAATTTTTTAGAATCTTCCGCCTCAAAATGTAGCTTCAAAATAGAAAACGAACAGCAATTTGGAAAAAACTATCGCGCTATGAGTGTAAAAATTGTGACAAATTCTATGTGTCGTACAGTGCTTTAAAATATATCACACTCAATTGTAATATTAATTATTAAAGTCAATTATTTAAGTTAAATTATATGCATCATACCTTTAAGAAAAATTATAGTTTAATTATCAAAAGTTTCCTTCCTTATTTATTTAAGCTTATTGCAGTGCTGTATCGTTTACACGTAATTCTCGTCCATCTCTGCCGTACAGAGAAACAACCAGCAAGACAACAGCGAGACAACAAACAAAATTCAACCGTACCTAAGAGGTTAACAATATTCCAAATTCTTTTCGTTCGATAAAATGAGAAAAAGATTAAAAATGTAAAAATTCGTGGAACGTGGTAGGCTTAAAATACTGACAACACGGTTTATCAGTGGACATGTTTGCCACTTAACTTTACAGTACCAGAGGACGTAGATTTATCGGTAATTTGTTATATTGAAGTCTACTTACATCGTACACGCGGTCGTTAACGTTGATTGTACTTGGCTATTCGATAGCTTGGCCGCATTCCACGTGCTAGAATATTAGCCACGTGCAAACTCGAAGCTCGACTCGTGGCCAGTGAAGTGTACGTACTCTTAACGGTATATCAAGATTACTTACCTCCATGAATTAGACGTTCGTGCCATGTTCCTTCTACTTACGTTGCAATCTACTCCACCTTAAGTGTTTATTTAATAATTATTACGAATCAAGAGTCTCTGCGTGTTAACGATCAAATGAAATTGTACCTGTGACGCAATTTGAAATTGCTCAGTGTCAAATTGTGAAACTGAAATCAACTGACTTAAAATTACGCGGGTATTAATTATAATGAAATCCGGCTTAAGCGTTTATCTAACAATTATTACGGACAAAGAGCTTACATTAAATTTCAATTTCAAGATCAATTTGAGATTGGAAATCAAGTAGCTTAAAATTACGCGGAATTAATTATAATCAACGCGCATTAATCGTAATTAACTTCGCTTTAAGTGTTTATTTAGTAATTACCACGGATCAAAAATTTCTGCGTTTTAACGATCAAATGAAATTGTACGTGTGACAATATTTAAAATTGACCAATGTGAAATTGAAATTGAGATCGATTGACTTAAAATTACACGAGTATTAATTAACAATCAACTTCGTCTTAAGCGTTTATCTAACAATTATCACGGACAAAGAGCTTACATTAAATTTCAATTTCAAGATCAATTTGAGATTGGAAATCAAGTAGCTTAAAATTACGCGGAATTAATTATAATCAACGCGCATTAATCGTAATTAACTTCGCTTTAAGTGTTTGTTTAGTAATTACCATGGTTCAAAAATTTCTGCGTTTTAACGATCAAATGAAATTGTACGTGCGACGCTATTTGGAATTGACCAATGTGAAATTGAAATTGAGATCGACTGACTTAAAATTAAACGAGTATTAATTAATAATCAACTTCGTCTTAAGCGTTTATCTAACAATTATCACGGACAAAGAGCTTACATTAAATTTCAATTTCAAGATCAATTTGAGATTGGAAATCAAGTAGCTTAAAATTACGCGGAATTAATTATAATCAACGCGCATTAATCGTAATTAACTTCGCTTTAAGTGTTTGTTTAGTAATTACCATGGTTCAAAAATTTCTGCGTTTTAACGATCAAATGAAATTGTACGTGCGACGCTATTTGGAATTGACCAATGTGAAATTGAAATTGAGATCGACTGACTTAAAATTAAACGAGTATTAATTAATAATCAACTTCGTCTTAAGCGTTTATCTAACAATTATCACGGACAAAGAGCTTACATTAAATTTCAATTTCAAGATCAATTTGAGATTGGAAATCAAGTAGCTTAAAATTACGCAGAATTAATTATAATCAACGTTCATTAAACGTAATCGACTTCGCCTTAAATGTTCATCCAATAATTGCAATAAATGCTTCTATGTTTTAACAATAAAATGAAATTACACATGCGACGCAGTTTGAAATTGGAGATCAACTGACTTAAAATTACGTGGGTATTAATTATAGCATTTCATTCGTATCACATCATTAAATGATATATTTAGTATCCTTTCAACAGTTGTTTGCCAATTTCGTCGTAGTTAATTTTCTACAGGAACGTTCATATAATTGTTTGTTTCTTTTATAAGAATTGCTCGACCGTCGGAAGTGTTCGAAAAATCGTGAGCATCGATTTTTAGACGATCCTGTATAACTAAATGCAATTTATTCGCTAGAGATCCTAATATGGAAACCTGTCATTGGTGCGATCAGTATGTTTTTATGTATGCAATATGCATATGTGAGAAGTGAAAACAAGAGCGTGATCGATACAACGATATCAAAGGTATCGTACGTCCACAATGCAGGCGGTATCATATTTTATATCGTAACAATGTATCAGATCAGCTGATCTTTCGTTTTTAATCAGAGAATCGTCGTCCTGTGTTAGCTATATCAGATATAGTAATTTGTTGGCAACTTTTTTAGAAATTTCTCTGCAAGAAAGTTATCGAGTTATTCGAATTTCGACACTTGTTGATATCATCAAGTACAACGTAAAGTTCTATGAAAAGATTATAGCAATTGTCCAAGTGATGAATTGAAAGGAAAAAACACCATAATAAATGAAAGTCGAATAACTCGTCTGGAATTTATATACAGTCTACATCTAGAGTTTATCGAAAAAAAATATCACTGAGGCAATAAATAAGATGTTTATAGGGAAAATAGTGGACAAGCAATGTACTTTAGATGTAGGAAATTTATTTTTATTTCACCTCGCTTTTACGAGTAGAGTAAACGAGATTTTTATTTTATCGCGTTTATTTACTTTTTAAATAGTTCGAAGTAGGTAGTGGCGTAGCAAAGAAAAATATTCGTGTCTTCTGAAAGAAACTTCTTATTTATACTTGATGGGCACTTTCTTATAAACGATATAAATCCTAGGAAAGCTTTCCCTTTGAGTAAAGTTAGGAGCTAGAAGTAAAAGTTCATCTGTTCCAACTTTAAAGCGTAAGACGCAACGTGAAAGCTTTCCTGTACCCTCGCAACATTGGTAAAACTATTTTTAAAACGAAGTTACACGCTTCTAACTTTCCGAAAGAAGGTATTACATTTCGCCATGTATATTTCACACCGTAAAAATACCAGAAAATCTATATTTAGCAGACTTCTCAAGGCATTCAATTCAATTCAATCAATTTCCCATGAATAATTCTCTCACGTATCTCTGCTGTGATATATTCCCATCTGTAACTTTTACATTCTGAAATTGCAAACTTCTTTTTCGTTTATAATTTACCTGTGAAAGATAAATTCTAATTTTCTTTAAAATATCGTGACTCGCGAAATTGTTTGATTACTTTTATTACACAAGACAATTTTTATAAATATATTATGTGTGTTATAGTGTTGCGTTACTACTGCAATGGGACACGAATCTCGAAATTACGTTAATACTGTTGAGGTTTTATATCTCAAAATAGAGAGAGCAAACACAAAAGCAAGAGCAAATGAATATATCATAGAAATTCTTTATTCAGAAATATTAGAAATTACCATTTCCACTGGTTTCTATCCTGTATGATAATGTATTGATAGATG